TGCAGGGAGTAAAAAATGGAAGCTTTGAGTCTGACGAAATGATTCCTGCTGATTTGCAACCATTTCAAGTAATTGAAGGTATCAGGGAGTTCACCACTTTCAACAATCCTGGCTGTTCCTACGTGGTGTCAGCCATGGCACTCCTATCTGTGCCACACACGAGGGGAGTGATATGAACTTTATATATATAACAGAAAAACATACACAGGTAGTGTACCATTGAGATTGATATCCACTAGATCCACTAGGCACACATGAGAACCATACTTTCCAACTATGGAGCAGGCTTTCTAGAGGATAGGAGATGGAAACAAACTAGAATAGTCAAATTCATTTTCAGGCTCAATCTGACACTTCCTATTTCATCCGATGGGACCTGACTCAATTATGTCTAAGGTCCCTTCCAGTCTTAAGGCAAAAACGGAGTGAGGGGGGCCGGAGGGAGAGGTCACTCAGGAAACATTCTGGCACCAGAAAAAAACTGAAGGTTTCACCTGACCCAATTATGACTGCCACCCAGAAAGGGCTCAGGGCATATACAGCTAGGTACTGACCCCCATTCACAGTCAATAAGGGTAAGGCCACTTGGCTGGGGCAGTTCCAGTCAAGTAAGTTTGCAGTGGGTCAGGTGCAGACCCATGTGGCCAGACCAAGTGCTGTCTGGGCGCTGAGGTCCTGGCCCACTTCAGAGCCCCAGCTCTTTAGAGCTGGTGAAGTCCCTTGGCAGAACGACATAGCAACACAGGAAAACTCGCTGGCTCTAGAACTCATAAGCCTCAGTTCCAAAATGAATCCTACTGCCAATCAGATGAAAGACAGTGGGTAAGTGGTTTTCTTTCCCTGAACTTCAGTTTCCTCATCTGAAATGTCACCAATTGCTACACAGCACTTAGCATCCAATAAATGTGGGTGCCCTTATTCCTCCTTCATTAACAGAACCAAAGTATGTATTCTCTCACCCTTACCCCTCTCTAGTCCCCCACTCCTGTGGTGGTACCTCTACACATCACCTCTCTCCTTTCCTTGTCCCCAGTCCAGCATGACGTTCTACTAGCGTTAACACCTGATAGACATCTCTAGCTCCCTGTCATCTTTACCTTCTTCCTCAAACAGGTCCAGCCCAACTGCAAAGGAAGCCTCTAAACTCAACTTCACTTTTCCTTCCAAATGACTGTCTGCTGTCTCTGGACCTCTGTTCATGGTAACTTCAGTCTCACAATTAAGCTGATGTGTAATGTTCTCTCCTATGAATCGTTCTTCTGGCATAAAGATTTCTTTGAATCCAATCACTTCTAAACACCCCTGTCCCCCCAACTAACTAGCTCTTCTCTAGGCATGGATGAAGTGCTAACCATGTATCAGGCATAGGGGCACACAACCTGGGAGCAAGTCTAGTCTCAACAGGTGTGTATGTGTGTGTGTGGGGGGTGTTCCCCCAGATGAGAAAGGCAGCAGTCTTTGAACTAGTTGGTCTTCTCTCCCTGGTCAAGCAATCTTCTGAAATCCCGTTGACCAGGCCTGGGGAACCTGATAACAGTTTTTCACATTCATCTTTAAGCTCTTCTTCCTGATCCTCTGGCATGGCAAAACCAGTCCACTCAGGCCCTGACAGCTTTCCTCTTACTTTGGTCATTTGCTGCCTCTGGACAGCCCTCCCCGCCCCTCTCTGATTGCAATCTGCTTAGACAAAAACAAACCCTCAATAATCATTTCTTTCAACATACTGTATGTAAAGACTGACCCCTTTTGTGTTTCTTAATAATAAGTCTCAGACATTGAGCTCTCTTCTCAAATCAGGTTCTTTCTTTCTTTCTTTCTTTCTTTCTTTCTTTCTTTCTTTCTTTTTTTTGAGACAGCAATGTAGCTCAGGCTGGCCTCAAACTTCACAGGTAGTTGTCTGTCTCTACCTTTCAAGTGCTGGACTGAACCCAGGGCTTTGTGCATGCTGTGCAAGCACTGCACCACATCTCCAGCCCTCTGAGTTTCTTAAGGAGGTAACTTCTTCCTGGTGATAGAGAAAAAGCATTTACGTTTTACATTCTCAAGCTATGAAGGTTTTAGTTTTAGCCCTAGAAATTCATGCCAACCTTTTTCAGAGATAGGAGGATGGGGATGAACCACTGAGCACTGGAGCAACCCCCCCTCCCCACTATACACGTGTGTGGATGTGGACAAACCCCTCACTTTCCCATTTCCTGCATCCTGCTCTAGTCCTCAGCGGTCACTCATCCTTGTGTTACTCAAGCGGTGGCAGAGTCAGCCGTCATTGCTCTCACTCACTCACGTCCAAATCCCCACCAGTCCTGGGGCTCTGACCCCCTAATTTTGTCTCACCACTCCCCTCTACCTCCTCTAGGTCATATTAGCAGTTTTTCTAACTTGAAGGAAAGTAACTGCCTCCTAACTGGTTTCTGGCCCTCAGGGATTCCTGTGCAAGCCTCACTCTCTCTGTGAACTAACAACAGTTCTGGAACTGGCCCTGAACACTTGAACTCTCTATCCAGCAGGACTGCGAGCCTCTATACACCCTCCTCCCCGACTAGTCACTGCATTCTACTTGCCCCGGAAGTTCCATTCCCCACAGTTTCCTGAACAAATGGATGATGGCCCCGCCCCCTCCCATGTCTTGGCCCGGTCAGCGCCTTTTCCACCGGTCTTTTGCATAGCTACCTCCTCTGAGCCCTCCTGCCTCATCTCCTCCAGGTAGCATTTTGGGGCCTCTTGGGCCCAGGCTTGGGGAACGGTTGTTCCTTTCCCTGTGCCTCCCTATCAGGCAGTGCATAACCATGCACTAACAAGGGGGCTGAAATCATCTACACATATGTCATACATACCATGGCCTCTCCAGAACTCTGCCTCCAGCCTAGGACACAGCTCAGAGCAGAGAGTCCTTCACACAAGGGAGCAAGGCTCACTTCCCTCCTGTTGGCGGGTTTCCTCCGATCTTCAGTGAACTAAGATGGGTAGCTGTGCTGCACTACTGCCACCTAGGGGCAACAGGGCAGCCCTGCTCCTCTCTCCCTATTCAGCATTTAACTAGATTGAACACACTGAATAGGATGGGAACACTAAGCCGGTAACACTTGATTCCGGTGGGGGTGGAGAAGCGGTAGCAGTTGGAGGTTGCTTCAAGTGGTGACTGAGCTCTGTGCTGAGCCACAAGGCATGAGAGAAACAGAGATCTCTTTTTCTCTGGAGGAAGAGAACAGCATTCCAGGCAGAGGGAGCAACAGGAACAGACAGGGTCAATGGTGGGGACATCTATGTTAGGTCAGAAAGGGAGCGTGCCATCAGTGGCAAAGACCCGGCACGCCAAGCTAAGGGCTTCTGTCTCTTATCTTCCAAGTCACTCAAACAGGCCAACACAATTCACTTTTTTTTTTTCCCCCTTAAAACTTTTAAACAGGAGGGACAGGATCAGATCAACATCTTTAAAAGTCAAGTCCTGCTGGTGTGCAGAGTGGGAGAAGTGACAGGGCAAGCACCGGAAGATAGCTTGTGCTTCATTCTCTCTCCATTTCAACTAGCTGCAACCTATGCCTCACATTCAAACTGAAATCGCTCCCCCTCCAACAGGCTTCAGTGGAAACATTTCCTACTTATTTATTTCAGCCTCTTCACAGACCTGGAGGTCTTGGCCTTTTTTCAAACTTATGAGCACAAAGTTTTGCACACGCACATCCAACAGAAACACAATGGGGGTACTGGACCTTTGAGATGAAAAAAGCAGTAAAGCCCAGGTGAGTTCAAATTCTACCTCAGCCACTTCAGTGCATGACAATGGTCCTATTTAGGTAACCTACCTAAGCTTCACTTTCTTTCTCTCTAAAATGGATTATAACACCTGCCTCTGTAATTGGAGACAAATGCCCATGAAGTGTTAACACGCTGACAATTGTCAAAAAGTTCTGGTGAATATTTGTAACATCATATAGTCAATGAGTGTGATGTGTAATACTGGAAGTTTCCTACATCTCTACATCTGCACAGTACTTTCATTTCGCTATTTTACAAACAGTTAAATACAGCTGAGTTTATTCAAGATCTTAGGAGCATCACCCAGAACAGTGCTAGATAGATGAACTTTTCGTGCAAGACCACTTCGTTTTTAGGATTTCTCTAGTCTGAACACTTTCAATAATGGAAGTAGTGTCACATTCCCCCCCCCCCCCCCCCCCAAAGTTCTCCACCTGCTCTGCACAGCCAGTATTAAAGTTCATTTTAATAAGCGTTAGGAGCAGAAGACACTGGAAAAGGAAGACCCTCCACCACCCCTCCATTGTTCCATTGCGTGTAATTTATATTTTCAACATTACATTCTTTCACGAATGCAAACATCCCACGCCCCAGTGGCAGCTTTGTTAGAGATGGCGATTAAATACACATACACACACACACACACACACACACACACACACACACACACTTCCCCCCCTCTTCTTTTTCTTAGCTAGGACTTCCACGTGTACCGAAGAAAGGCTTGCACGTTTCCAAAAGGACCTCAAAGACCCACTTCGGTGTGTTCTGACAAACGATCACAAAAGAAATCTGTGGGATCTCCCGAGGGAGCGAGCGCTGTGGGCCGTGACCTCTGCATGCCCAAGGCTCTCCCTCCACTCCTCCGCCTCTGGCCTCCCTCTCCCGCCTCCGGATCGTCAGGCTTCCACTACAGACTATGCGGGGAGCACCCCCGCCCCGCCACCAAAGTCTCGCAGCCAGCCCCCCAAAGCGCGTGCCCACGCTATGTCCTCCTTCTCCCGCCTCTCTCGCGGGAGTCCACAGAAGAATCCGGCCCGGGGGAGGCTTGTCCCCGACCTGGATCTACCCGGATCCGTTCCCCTTTGCCTAGCTGCGGCCCACGCGCGCGGCCTGGTCTCCAGGCCTGCTGCGGCCTGGGGCCTTCGGCCGGTGCAGGCCCGGCAGGCGCCCGCGGGGCTAGGCGAGCTCAGGCCCTGGCGCGGCCTACTACTTCGGAAGTCGCTGAAGCCTCCCGGCCTTACCTGAACGCGGGCGGGAAGGCCCGGGACTCTGCTCCGGGGCTGGCGGCACGGCGATAACGGCTCCGCTCGGCCTCGGAAGCGATAGTGGCAGCGGCAGAGGGGCGACGGCGACGGCAGCGGCGGCTCCTCCTCGGCGCGCACGGCCCGCTCCCCCGGTCCCGCGGCCCGGACACGCCCCCTTCTGGGCGCGCGCGCCGATTGGCAGGAGTCTTCGAAGGCTCGGCGCTCATTGGTTGGTGTGACTGTCGCGGTACGCTGAGGGCGCGCGACAGAGGCGGAACTTCCGGTCGGCGCCGCTTGCGGAGGGCTAAGGCGGCCGGTGGATACGCGGGGTGGTCAGCGATGGCCGTGGAGGGGAAAAGGTGGGTCCTGGCCCACAGCAGATGCCGTCTGGACGCTGAGGACGAGTAGTGCTCTTCGTCGAACGCACACCGTACGGTCATACCTGGCGGCCGCGCCGTTGCCACTGCCCTACCAGGTAAGAAGAGTGGTCAGCACGCCAAGGTTAAGAGAACAAAATCCCGGGTTCGAATCCCAGCCACTACGTTTCCGCGCTGCGTGCAGTTGCGCCCGAGCTGACGTCACCTCGCCAGGCCTTAGTTTCCTTATCTGGTGCAGTGGAGAGTCCCGGTCAAGGAATGTGGTCAGCGTTCCCATCAGTGGTGGCTATTCGAGCATGGATGTTTGCGGACGCTTGTCTCTAATGCTTCCATTGAAATTTTGTTAAGCGCCTACTATGTGCCAACCAACGGGACTTAACAGAACAAACAACATTCGGGGCCACCATTCTAGGCTAGTGCTATCTAGAAAAATAGATGCGAATAACGTGCATAATTTTAAAAAATTGTACTGGAGAAATGGCTCAGCGGTTAAGAACTCTGGCTGTTCTTTCAGAGGATCCAGGTTCGAATCCCAACACCCACATGGCAGCTAACAGCTGTCGGTTACTCCAGTTCCAGGGAATCCGACAGCCTCTTCTGTCTTCCGTAGGCATTGCACGACACGGGTGCATTTACCTACATGCAGGCAATACACGCATACACGTAAAATAAAAATAATAAATACTTAAAAAGTTGTATTAACTGATCATCCTTTTGCCCTCCTTTCTTGCCGTTTTTTAAAACAATATTTTTATTTGGGGCTGGAGAGATGGCTCAGCGGTTAAGGGCACTGGCTGCTCTTTCTAGAGGACACAGATTGAATTCCCAGCACCCACATGGTGCTAGCAACTATCCAGAACTCTAGTTCGGGGGGATCTGACGCCCTTTCTGACCTCCGTGGACATTGCATGACACAGGTACATTTAGACATATGCAGGCACACTCATACACGTAAAATAAAAATAATAAATAAAATTTTAAAAATTATATAAGCAAAGAATACCAAAAGGCATTTCTCTCACAATTTTGTGCGGCTTTGGGGAGGTAACAGGATCTGTATTTGAGTGTGGATTTTGCAGCATAGCTGTAAATGTGGGGCGCCCACTCTTTTGTAAATAAACCACTGCCCGCTATGCTCTGTTAAAACAAAATAAAATAAAAATCATTTATTTTACTTTATGCATGACTGTTTTGCCTGCAGGAATGTAAGTTCACCTGTGTATGCAATGCCCTTGGAGCCAAAAGAGGGCATCACGTCCCTTGGAACTGGAGTTATGGACAGATGTTAGCCGCCATGTGGGTGCTGAGAACTGAAGCTGGATCCTTTGTAAGAGCACCCAATCCTCTTAGCTAGCTGAACCATCTCTTCATCCCCTTTTGTGTGTTTTTGAGATGGGGTCTTGTGTGGCCCAGGCTGGCTTCAAACTCCTTATGTAGCTAAGTATAACCCTGGACTCCTGATCCTCCTTCATTCACCTCCCAAGTGCTGGGATGACAGGCCTCTAACACCACAGCTGACTGAATTTTTTTAAACAGATTTCCAGAATTAAAATTTTAGTAACTTTTTAATTTATTTTGTGTGCATGTGTGTATGTGTGTGTGTATGTGTATTGTGTGCATGTCAGAGGACAACTTTCAGGAGTTAGTTGGACCATGTGGATCCTGGGGATTGAATTCAGATTGTTAGGCTTGGTGGTAAGAGCCATCTTGGCACCCTGGAGCTAACATTCTTTTTTTTGTTGTTTGTTTTTGAGACAAGGTCTCCCTGAAGCCCCAGCTGTCCTGGAACTCACTATGTAGACCAGGCTGGCCTTGAACTCACAGAGATCCACCTGCTTCTGCCTCCCAAGTGCTGGGATTAAAGGCGTGCCCCACCACGCCTGGCTGAGAAAACATCCTTAATCAGCTCTTTATAGTACAAATCTAAGCAAGTTACAAATTTGTCAGCTGTATTTTATTGATTGTCAGCTTAAATTTACTAAATTATGGGCTGAGGGTATAGGTCAGTAGCATAGTGCTTACATAGCATATCAAAGGAGTTTCACAAAAGAAAAAAAGGGCCTAGAGAGGTGGCTCAGCAGTTAAGAGCCTGGCTGATCCTGCAGAACACCCAGGATAAATTCCCAGCATCCACATGGCAGCTAACAACTATTCATAACTGCAGTTCCAGAGGATCTGATACCCTCTTTTAGTCTCTGGGTCTTGTACACATGTAGTGTACTTACATGCATGTAGGCAATCATTTTTATGCATGTACACATAAAAATAAATTAAAAAAAAATTTTAAAGAATTAAGTTATTGGTTGTGTTTAAAAAGTAAGAAGAAAGGGCCATAAAGATGACTCAGCAGGGTAGGGCACTTACTGCCAAACCTGACAACCTGAGTTCAGTCCCCAGGATCCACATGTTGAAAGGAGAGAACTGTAGGTTGTCCTCTGACCTCCATATGCACACCATGACATGCATATGCACACATACACAAAATAAATTTGTAAAAATGTTTGGGGCCAGGCATGGTAGTACACACCTTTAATCCCAGCACTTGGGAGGCAGAGGCCAGCCTGGTATACATAGTGATTTCTGGGCCAGCTGGGGCTACAGGGAGACCCTGTCTCAAAAAAATCAACAAAAGTAAAACAGCAGATATTAATTCTGATAGTTTTATTTATAAATATATCCAAAATGTTTCAGCATGTGATCAAAGTAAAAAAATTATGAGTTGCTGGTGCATGCCTTTAATCCCAGCACTCAGGAGGCAGAGGCAGAAGCAGGAGAATCTATGTGAGTTGAGGCCAGCCTGGTCTACATAGCGAGTTCCAGGCCAGATCCTGTCACAGAGAAACCCTATCTTATAAATAAATAAATTAAATAAATAAATAAATAAGAGCTCTTTCACATTCTGTTTTTTTTTCAAGGACTCAGCAGTCACATCCTGCGGTCTACTGCATTGGACCATGTTCTTGTATATGGAGAGTCAGACAAGAGATCAAGTGGATTCGTCCTCAAGTGGTTTTGAAAAGGGTGAAAAGAAAAGTAAATTGGGGATAGCGCATTAGGGCAGGTAGAGTTTACAGTTTCTAAGAGGGTAGTCAGGAAGGTTTGGAAGGTAGAATTTGCAGAGGACTCAAAGAAATTGAGAACAAATAATAATATTCTTCATTGTCTAGCATTGTCCATTAGAGCATGAAGAAATGACAGGTGTGGGGAGATGGCTGGGAGATGGCTCAGTGGATGAGAGTGCTTATTGTGAAAGCATGAGGACCTGAGTTCAGATCCTAATACCCGTATAAAAAGTCAGGTATGGTCATGTGTTCCTGAAACTTCAGTGCTGTATGGGACAGAGACAGCCTAGCTTCGGGTTCAGAGACCCTGTCTCAAAGGAGTAAGATGGCCACTGGTAGAGCAGGACACCGAACACCCTGTTCTGGCCTCCAGCTTTTTTTACATGGGTTCTAGGGACCAAAACTCAGGTCCTGTTGATGGAAAGTTTTATCTTGGAGGAAATTACTTCACAATACCAGGATAGCCAGGACTAAATAGGGCTATAAAAAAAAATAGGGGAGAGCTTGCCTAACATGCTTAAGGTCTGGGATTCCATCCTAAGCACTTCAGAAAAAGAGATAGGGCTAGGGAAATAGCTAAGACAGAAAAGTACCTACCATGCAAGCCTGAGGTCCTGAGTTTGGGTCTCTAACACTTGCTTAAAAGCTGGGTGCAGTAATCTGTAACCCCAGCATTGGTGGGATAGAGACAGGCAGATCCTTGGAGGTCAGTGATGAGCCCTAGGTTCAGTCAGAGACAGTCTAAAAAAATAAGGTAGCGAAGACAAAAATCTTAGAAGTGGGGAAGTAGGTAAGAAACCCCAACCTTAGCTGAGGAACTATTGGCAACTGGGAGAGGGAAAGTTGGTTTTCCTTAAGGATGCCAATGAGTCTTCAGTGGATGGATGCACACCAAAGGACATTTGGGGACACAAACTTGGTTTGATAGGCCTTAATATATATGACAGAGCACATGAAATCTGGCAAGTAAGGTTCAGATAGCCCTGCCCCCTCACCAACAGGATCCCAAGGACTTCTCATGCTCCTGAGAAAAGGGAACCTAGCTGATAAGCACCTTGGTCTTTGAGGTCAAGAGAAGCAGACTTTTCTCCACTGTTTGGCCAACACAGCAGGCTTCCCCTTTGATCTCTAAAGAGGACAGGTTTTAACAGTCCTGCTCTCCCACTCCCCCCACCACCCAACTTCCTGCCTTCTGCAGGAAGCAGAAGCCTCCCTTTTAAAAAGAACCCAGCTCAAGACCCAGGCAGACATTTTCCCTGCCTGGAAGGGAATCTGTCCCATGTGTTCCTTTGCTAATAAACCCTATTTTGATGGAGTTTTATCTGTGTCCTGGTGCCTCCTCCTCCATTTGCTTGTTCTCCGCCAACTTTTTAACCTATCAGCAAGGGGGCTATAAGAGGTGTGCAGATAGGGGAGGGGGCCTAAATATAATTGAAGCATTATATGAAATTCTCAAAAATTCAATAAAGATTATTTTAAAAATTAAAAATGTAAATAAATAATTTTTAAGTTGAAAAAATAAAATAAGGTGTGTGGTGGGCTTAGTGTTTAAAGGTGCTCACCTCTCAGCCTGACAACCTGAGTTTGATCCTTGGGACTCACATGCAAGGTGTCCTCTGACCTCCACATGTACACTATGGCATGCACACATATACATGTGCTCCAATACATGTTGTGGTGGTTTGAATGGAAACGTCCCCCATAGGCTCCAAGTGTTTGGACATTTTGTCCCCAGATGATGGCACTGTTTTGGGAGGTTTTAAAAGGTGTGGCTATCCTGGAGGAAGCACGTCACTGGGGGGTGGGCTTAGCGAGTTTTTAAGCCTTGCCGGATCTCCAGATGCTCTCTTGCTTCCTGTGTGATGATGTGAGCACTTATCTTCTGCTGCTCCTGCTCCAGCCACCTCCAGCCATCATGCCTCCCTGCCACGATGGACTATAATTCCCCTGGTACTGTAAGCTCAAATAAATACTTCCTTCTATAAATTGCTTGGGTCAGTGTTTCTGTCACAGCAACAGAAAAGTGACTAATACAATAATTGGTACCAGAGAGTGGGCTGTTGACTGTGAAGAACCTGACCATGTGGGGTTTTGAAGGAATGTGGAAGACTTTGGAGGTTTGGGTTAGAAAAGTGGTTGACTGCTGTAAGCAGAGCTTAACAGGTTGTTCTAATAAATGCTTGGAAGAAAGCAGTGCTGAGAACAATGTAGTTCCAGAGGGAAGCAGCCCTTGGGATATTTTGGCAAAGACTCTGGCTGGAGTCTGCCCTAGACCAAAAAGCTTGCCTGAGGCTAAGTTGAAAAGCAATGGACTAATTTCTTTGGCGGAAGAAATTTCAAGACAGCCTAATATAGAAATGGTGGCATGGCTAGTAATGGTGAATATTATGCAGATCTACAGTGAAAGAGAGCACATGGGACAGAAAGAAATACAGTTTGGAATAAAAAAGAGCACTAGGAAGACAAATGTTGGAGCCCTGGCATGTGATGGAGAGGATCCCATTGATAAGGAGATTAAAGTGATTAAGGAGGGGGCCTAGAGATTCAAACTTGAACAATGGAGAGAGTGCCTCCAGGGCAAGACCACACCCAGTTAAGCCTCCAACTTGTGAAAGGAAAATGCTGCAGGGACCACTGAAGAGGAAAGCTTCTAAAATGGATGAAGCAGGCTGGAGTCCACCCCAGACTTGCAGTCAAACTTGGCAGTGTTACACACCTGGTGTTGGATTTAGAGGCATAAAAGATGGAAGAGTGAAGGGGTCATCAGTTCTTCCTCTAAGGTTTCAGAGAGCCTTGGAGGCCAGGCAGCACGAAGCAGGGGTGCCCCTGCCTAGAGAAGGCCCTGATAGGCCATTGTGTGAAGCTGTGACGGTGAAGCCTGGTTCGTGATGTCAGAGCTGTGAGTCATCTGCCAAGAAGACCTGCATACAGGGAGTGGTACCAGGACAGGAGAGAGATGTGTGTTGCATGCAGCAAAGCTAGAGAGGCTGAGCCATCTAAGCCCTTTGGAAGTAAAGTCCCAGAAGCTGGACATGGAGCTACTGGATTTGGTGTTTGCCCTGCTGGTTTTCAATCTTGTTTTGGTCTGGTGTTTCCTTACTATGCCTCCATTCCCTTTTGGAATGGTAATATGTATTTAGTTCCACTGTATGTTGGGAGTATGTAATTTGTCTTTTGATTCTATAGAGGCTTACAGTCCACTTTGGACTGTGTGCACTTTTGAATAGTATTGAGACTGATAATGAATATGGGGATTTTTAGAGTTGGACTAAATGCATTTTGTGTTTTATATGATCATGCGCTTATGGGGGCCAGGGGGTGGAATGTGGTTGTTTGAATGAAAAGGTCCCCCATAGGCTCCAACTGTTTGGACATTTTGTCCCCAGATGATGGCACTGTTTTGGGAGGCTTTAGGAGGTGTGGCTATCCTGGAGGAAGCTCATCACTGGGTGTGGGCTTACAGAGTTCTTAAGCCTTGCCAGATCTCCAGTTGCTCTCTTGCTTCCTGTGCCTGTGTGATGATGTGAGAGCTTAGCTTCTGCTGCTCCTGCTCCAGCCACCTCCAGCCACTATGCCTCCCTGCCATGACAGACTGTAATTCCCCTGGAACTGTAAGCTTAAATAAACTCTTCCTTTTATAAAATGCTTGGGTCAGTGTTTCTATCACAGCAACAGAAAAGTGACTAATATATGTTAAATGTTAAAAATGTCATAAATGTTAAAAAGCAACTGAGGAAGACATCTACCACCTATCTCTGGCCTTCACATGCATGTGTATGCTCATGCATGCGCACTCACACGCGTGTACACGCCCATACAAATATGCTACTCACAGACACACAGAATTTATTGTAATTAGTATGCAAATACTGATGCCTTGTTATTGTTTAAAATGAATGGTTTATTCGGATTTTGTTTTTCTTTGTCTTTTTTCTCTTTCAGGATTCCATGAAGGTTAATTATCACATTACATTTAATTGTCCTGTGTGGTCTCTTCTTGGCTGTGGCAAAAATTACACTTTCCTTGTTTGTAATGACCACGACAGTTTTGAGAAGCAGTGGTCTGATGTTTTGTTTTATCTTTTGAGACAGGGTCTCACTTTGTAGCTCAGGCTGTTACAGAACATACTAGGTACTTCAGGTTGATTTAGAATACACAATTCTCCTGTGTCTAAACACTGGTGTTAGAGGTATGCACCACTGTGCCTGGCTGGTAAGGTATTTTGGGATATGTTTCTCTATTAGAGATAAGATTATGATGATGGATTTATTTGCAGAAAGATCAAAGAGGTAAACTGCCAGTTTTCATCCACTACATTGCAGTGTGTTTATGTGTGGGGTATATGTAACGTGTGTGTATGAGTGCATGTGCATGGGTGTACATGTATGCATATGTCCGTGTGGAGGTCAATACTGAGTAACTTCCTCAGTCACTCTCCACTTTATTGAGATAGGGTCCCTCACTAAACCTGGAGCTGACCAATTGGCTAGACTGGCTGGCCACTGAGCCCTAGGGATCTGCCTGTCTCTGTTTTCCCAAGTGCTGGGATTTTAGGTTTACCTGTGCATTCAGCTTTTTCCATGAGTGCTGGGGATTCAAACTCATGCTTGAACTGCAAACATTTTACTGACTGAGCCATCTCCCCATGCCCTCTTATATATTAAAGCTTCATTCATCAACATTAATCTTGTCTGGATTTGCTAGATTCTTCAGCATGCTAGGTAATTAAGTGTGTGAGTGTTTTGCCTGCACATATGTAAGCTCAGCACCACATACATGAAGTGCCCTCGGAAGCCAGAGATGGAGTCAGCCCCCCCCCCGGTACTGGAGTTACAGATGGTTGTTAACCACCATGTGGTTGCTAGGACCTGAACCCAGATTCTCTTATGTAACATTTTGAAGAAAGTGAAAGAGTAAAGTTTAGGTGAAAGACCAGAGCCAGAGCTTCAGCAGACTGAACAGAGGATTTATTCCTAGTTCAGTGAAGGTGACACAGCTTCTCTGCAGACAAGCAAGCTGTGCAAAGGTGTGAAGGGGTGGGACTGAATTACATATAGGACTAGAAAATAAGGCACAGACACACAGCTGTGAAATCTGGGTTGAGGTGTCCTTGGGCCCTTTTCCTGGGGTTGCAGAACAAAGAAGCTGATTAACTCGGCTGTGGTTAATTTGATAATGGTGGAGCAAGGACACCAGAGAGACATCCTGGCGAGAGGAGTGGGTTTTCTGGCTTACTTCAGCTGTGGCATTCTATCAGGGATGTAGCTAACTGTTAACAGTGGGGCTAGAGTGAGACATTTGTCTTAGGGAACTTTTGGATTCTATCACTCTATACACGCAGTCAGTGCTCTTGACCTCTCAGCCATCTCTCCAGCCCCTGAAAAGTAACTTTTTACCTTTTTTACATTATTATTATTATTATTATTTTATTTTGGTCTTTTTGAGACAGGGTCTCCCTGTAGCCCCAGCTGTCCTA